GCTCCTGTTGTGCCTTCCTGCCGCCTTCATTGAATCAAGGTTAATCCGCTGGTTAAGTGACAAAGACAGAACAGGTGTTATGCCTTGTATGCCATGAGGCTGCACATTGTGTTGGACTACAATTTTGGCTACTAGTGATTATCCACTGTACCTCATTTAGTATGATAACAATGCCACACAACATGGAGGACATCCTCAATGTGAAAATGGCACTTTGTGTCCATAGTAACTGTGCATGTACTCTTTCTGATACTACCATGCACAGATGCATCTGCTACAGGTAGATCGGTGAGGGTGAGGTCAGGTGCATTGTCTTCACTTGGTTCCTCGTCGCCTGCCGCAGGCCTAGTTCAGCAACTATATCACTTAGGACTCGACCAGCTCAGTCACTACCACACCACTCTTGGTAATGCAGGTTCCTGACCTTTACCAGGGTACATTCTGTGCTTTTGCCGTTCTCATTGCATCCCCCAAGCGGGGAGTTTTGGACACCCCTACCCAGGGAAGAACACCCAGGGTAGGGGAGTCCAAAACTAGATGGCATAGGTTTAAGGTGAGAGGTGAAATATTTAAAAGGGACCTTTCATGCAGAGGGTGGTGCATGTATGGAATGAGCTGCCATAGGAAGTTGTGGAGGCTGGTACAATTACGTCATTTAAAAGGTACTTTTGGAAGGGTTTAGAGGGATATGGGCCAAATGCTGGCAAATAGGACTAGATTAATTTAGGATATCTGGTCGGCATGGATGAGTTGGATTGAAGGGTCTGTTTCCGTGCTGTACAACTTTTATGACCCTATGACTCTAAATGGTGTTATACATGTAGGAGAACTGATTCATCAGTTGGTGGGGGATAATCAATAGATTGTTTCTTTGCTCCCTGTCCATTCTTCCAGTATCTCCATCACATCTGTTCTGATGCTGTCACTTTCTACTGAAGTTGTGGCTTTTTCCCTCACCTGAGGATTTCCCACACTGTGGTTGACAGGACCCTCAGCTGTGTATGATCTAAATTCCACACTTCTGCCATCATCCTTCCCCTCCATCACAGAATAACAGTTGGGTTCCTCTTCTCATTTTTCACTCCACAAGTTGCTTTATTTCATAGGATTATCCTCCACTAATTTCACTGCCTCCAGCAGGATGCCACTACCAAAAACATCTCTCCTACCCCGTCCAGTGTCAGCATTCCACAGGAGATAATCCCTCTGAGACACCCTGGTCCACTCCTCTATCAATCCTAACACTTCCTTACCACAATCCCTTCTTGCTCCTTCCCATGCAATCGCAGAAGGTGTAATAGTCTCCTTTCACCTTTTTGCTCTTCACTGTCCAAGGCCCTATACACACTTTCCAGGTGAAGCCACATTTTATTTCACTTGTTTTAATCTAATCTGCTGTTCTTGCTGCTCATGATGTGGTAATTTTTCCATTGTCAATACCAAACACAAACTGGGTCGCTGCTTTGCGGAACACCTTCGCACTATCTATAGGAATGACCCCAACATCCCAGTTGCTTGCCATTTCAAAAAACTACCTTGCTCCTGAGCTAACGTTTTTGTCCTGGGCCAATTACAGTGTCCCAAAAACTGAATGCAAGCAGAAGGAAAACACCTCATTTGCCACTTAGGCACTTTACAGTCTCCAGGATTCAATATTGAGTTCCACAAATTCAGTGCATGACCTCTGTCCTTCACTTTCATTTCCCCCCACCCCAGATTCACACATGTCCCTATCTCTGGGCCAGAGTTCAAGTTTCTTCTGAGGTTGTGATGGCCATAGAGGAGTGTGATATCGCATCCAAACGGGTTGATTTGGTAAAAAAAAAACATGACCCACATTTTGTTTCAGTACAAGAGTGAGACCGTCTATACCTGTACTGTTTCACATTGCATACATCTCTTCCAAGTAAGGACTGCCTGCCTCTGGTTTCTTCTTTCACCAAGTGGCTATCCAGATTTAAATAATTTGAGGTATTTATACTAGATCCCCTTGTTCCCTTACCTCATCTGGACTTGCAACTTCCATATTACACGTAACCTCCTTGTTCTTCCTATGAAAACATATTGCCTCACATTTATCTGTGCTGGATATTATTTGCCTGCACTGCAGGTATATTAACTTCCTCCTATAATTTGTTGCAGTCCTCATCAATATTAATTGTTCTATCCAATTTTGCAAAATCGGCAAGTTCAGAAATTGCGTCTTTGATTCCAAAGTCCAAGTTACTCATTTAAATAGTGAACATAGTGGTCCCAGCATTGTTCTTTGTCAATCCTCTTGCCACTCTTATTAACTAGCGTTCAGTCCCGTTCTCTGCTTTCTGTCATCAAATCAGCTAGCAACGCATTCTGTCACTTGTTCCTAACTCTACATTCTCTGACCTTTTTAAATTATTACGGAGCATCTTATTGAAGTCCTTTTGTAAATTCAGATAGATTATGTCTGCTGCATTAAGATCGGTCATCTCCTCAAGATCCCACTAAAGCTGGTTTAGCAAGATTTTCCATTCTGAAATCCATCTTGACTATTCCTTCTTAAACTTTTCATTTCTAAATGGCGTTCTATTCCCCTTTCGAAGGGATTTCATTATTTTCCGACCATGGTTAAGCGGATGGGCCTATAATTAATTCCCAGGGCTGCTTCTATCTGTTATTTCAAATATAGGAGTTACATGAGCTGTCCTCTGGTCTATGAAGCTATACCTTTATCTGGTAAATATTTAGATATGTTTTGATAAAAATTTATTAATACACTTCATGATTCTATTAAATTCCAAAGAAGTCATGCGCACATCTCAGCTAACTGTATCACATGTTTTATTTATATTGTCTGACTTGGCTGCTCCCTTAAGCTAACTGGCTAGGGATTGCTGAATAATCATCATTGTATCATTTGTATCAAAGTAGGCTAGGACATAAATTAGGTCAAGTGGTTGTGACTCAATTAAAGGGACCTCTACCAATTTTAAACGGTGCAAAATTGCTTTTGTCACATCCCTGCTGTTGGGTTCTGGAGATAGGATTCGACCCACCTGATTTAAATTTGAAACCCTGTAGTAGTAAATAAACTTTTAATTAAGTTTAGAAATCTAACAGATGCATACAGATGTTGGGAAACTTTCTACTCTAGAACCTAATATGACAGCTGTAGATCTGTGATTAGATCTGTACTTGCAGCAAAGATATGAACTGAAGAAATGTGTGACTGATAAATTCTAGCCTTATTTCAATAGAATCCCTGCAGTGTGGGAACAGGCCATTCAGTCCAACAAGTCCACATCGCCCTTCCGAAGATTCATTCCCCTACCCCTGCAATTCCCCATGTCTAACCCACCTAACCTAAACATCCCTGGACACTATGGGCAATTTAGCATGGCCAATCCACCTACCCTGCACATGTTTGGACTGTGGGAGGAAACCAGAACACCCGGAGGAAACCCACGCAGACACGGAAAATGTGCAAACTCCACACAGAACCCAGGTCCCTGGCGCTGTGAGGCAGCAGTGCTGACCACTGAGCTACCGTGCTGCCCTTTTTGTTCGAGGTAGAGAATAGAATTAAAAACTGATGCAGTGTCTAGATTTTGTGATGTTATTCATCAGAGGCAGACCCATCTGTTTCAGCTTCTGAAGAGGGGGAGACATTGGACTGGAGGGAATTGTTGGATAATAATTCTGGTTCCTCCATCTGAATAATTCTGACCATATGGAAATATGAATGAGAGATTGACAGTATTACTAAGTTATAGAAAGGTTTGCACTTGTCCCTCAGTGCAGTCAACCCTTCTTCGCTCTGTACTTCCACTCTTACCAGTATCTTTTTAATGGCAGTGGGCATTCTTGGCCACTCAAAAGACTGGTTAGGCCACACGTGTTGTGCACAACCTTCTTCCTATTCCTGCCTGCAGAGGAGCCGAATACATGCCATGGTCGTCTACTTATTTTCTTTTCGCAATAATGAACTGTGCTGTGGGCCTGGATTTGCTGGTATCAGGTGCAGTGATGGCTTCGTTTCTCAAATTAGGATCAAGGCACGTAAATAAGGGGAAATTTGCACAGTATCTAATCTTTAGTATAGATGTTCTTGGAGTACTCTAAACTGCTATAGCATATTTTAAAGGGAAAAGTTTTGTTTAAACAGAAACATCCTGCACGTGTCTTAGGAGTTTGCTCTTCACCTTAGTCCCTGGAATACAGATTCAACTTACAAAATTGAATAGTTTTGACATAATATTTTCAGTACAGAATCAAGCCATTTGTTCCAACAGATCCATGCTGATGTTTATACTTCACACAATCCTCCTCATCTTCATTTAAACCTACCAATGTGTGCTTCTACTTTTTCACTTGTTCATCTAAACAGCTCAATGACACCTTATGATAGCAATTTCTACATTTTCACTGTTTTCTGAGTAAAGAAATTTTCTCATGAATTCTCTACCAAACATATTATTCACCATCTAATATTTATCACCTTCAGTTCTGGTCTCTTGTTAGAAAAGTCTTTTGTATACCGACCCCATACTTTTACGATAGAAGTCCTCTCTCAGATCATCATCTTAATGTTCTTCCTCGCAAAAAAAAGTCCTAGGTGCTTCAGTGTTTCTACGGATGAGGTGATGGAGCACCTCCAGTCTAGGACAGCCACCAATATATACACACAGATTAACCATTGCTACTGCTGCACTAACACAAACAGATTAGGCACAAACAAGATCATGGAACGTACAAGAGCTTTTCAGAACCTTATCATAGAAACATTTAAAAATTTGGGACAAGCGATTGTGGTTTAGTACCAAGTACACTTTTAAATCTTGTAAACAATTAACACCCTGTGCCTTGACATAATACCTGAAGGGCAAACCATTTACATTTATTTTAAAAATATGTATTATTACTACAGATTTCATCCTCAGACCCATGCAGTTTGGAAGGGATTTATCCAGATGTCAAATATGAAACGGTTCTTGGTGAAAGCATATCCTGTGCTTGGTCGCACGGATCATCTCACAAAGGTACAGACCATTGAAGTTACAGGGTGATATAGTTTGCATGTTTACTATGTTACATTTGACTTGATGACTTGAGAGTTTGGGCTTCTTATGCTGACAATTACAAATAGTGGAGAGTTAAAAAGGTTCAAAAAGTGATACCATCTGGATAATCTAAAAAGTATGGAGCACTGTGAGTTTTGTCAACTGGAAATATTTGCTTTGTATGCCTTGTGCAATTACAATCATCTCAATCCCAATCAGGAACCTAACCCAACTCTAACCCTCTACTTTTATATATCACTCTGCCTATCTCTGTTTATCTGTCTCTTTGCTTCTCTCTCTTTGATGGAACCTTATGACCAACTAAAATAATTGAGGTTTGCATTTTGTCTGGAAAGCATTTCCAGTCTCCCACACTGAACTTGCTGTAAATGTGATCATCTGGGAGATGACTTCCTCATTGGCACATCTGAGTCCACTGTCCAATTAAGAATGGCATTCCTGAGCTTGCAGGCCCTAACAGAGACCTGGAGCCTATGATGGATGGCAGCCCTGGCACCTAAAGGTAGAGGGTGTGAGGACACTTCTATCTTGAAGTGGCCTCTGAAGAGGTTTACATTTTTAGAAAATAAACTCTTGACACAGCTTCCAGGTCTCAGAATGGTCTGTAGATGTGGCTAAGGCCCATTGTTCCATGCTATTTCATTTGTAGGAGTGTGGCCAGTAGGTTGAGAACAGGAGGCCTCATTGTGGGGGTTATATTCCCCTGCCAGGAAGTTGTCTCTAGGCACCTCCTGGACTTTGTCCTCTGTAAGTGGATCATTCACCATCAGATAGATCCTGGCAGTGCCCTCATGCTGCCCAAAAATGAGCAGTTAATTGTTAAATTGGGTCTCCGATGATGACTGATCTCTGGAACATGTTGGACCACTGACCTGACACTCAGATACACTCTTGTATTTCTGCCATGTCAATTTAGCCTTACTTATTTAATTAGTGAAAACAGTTAAAACAATCACAATTGCTCTGGTTAGGAGACAAAAGAAGAAAACTCAGCAACTTTTGGATGCTGATAAAGGATATTAAAAGCAGCACTTCTTTTGCCCTGTACACTGAATTCTCACCCATAGCAAATTCCCAACATTCTATTCAGTCCTCATTTCAATTCATTGATCCTTGAGTTCTTGCCAATTCTTGTGTGAGTGGAATTAGCAGCAGTGGAAGTGGGGTGAAATTGATTGCAATACCAGGTGCATTTGAATTCATTGCTTACCAGCCTCTGCAGGGATTTCATTGGTGATAGAAGAGCCATTGTGTAGGCTACTTGCTCTTTTGGCCAATTTATTGACCATTAATAGCCATTTAAGTTTGCTGACTGCTGCTGCAGTTATTTTGTGAATGGCAGGAGTTGCAGAGAGGGCATGTGTCCAGGTGAACCCTGGCAGCCTTGGGGCTGGAAGGGGTCCCTCTATTCCGGTGGAAACCTAGTTTTTCTCCACGTGGTACTGACTGTTGTCACATACTCCCTTGTCTTCCAAATAACAGCCCCCTTTGACCAGCCCAGGCTCTTCCAGTGCCTGATGAAACTCCCTCTCCCTCACCCTCTAATCTCCAGTAATAATCCTCTAGGGGTACAATCCTGCAGTCTCAAGAGGAGCCACCGTTCCCTTTGATGCTGCTGGGACTAAAGAGCTGACACCCATAAAATTAGTTTGGGTGACGTGGCCATTGTGCAAGCAGGTTCAAACCCAACCTTTAAACCAGGTGATATGGCCAATGGCTGCAGAATTCTTCAGCCTGTGATTTTGATTTTGATTTTTTTATGGAGATGTACCTGGGAATTTTGGAAGTATTGAGGCTACATCTCATTTGAATAAGGTTTCTTGAGTTCTTACCTAAGTTTGGTTAGATCCTCTCCTTAGAGCGGTAGGAATTGAAAGGATAGTTGGCAGCAGCAAGAGACCTGAAGGAATGGGTATAGATGTAAGTTAAATGCTGGAGGAGGGAATAGAGACAATGATTTTTCCTTCTCTAAATAGCAAAATCTTTTACTTATCCTAACTTGTAGCTGCTGTACTGTGATTGGTGTCATTGACATCTGCCAGGACTTCCCCATAATATGTTGAAACCTTTGCATTTAAATGCCAACCTGACTGCCTGCAATGGGGAAACTTGACCAACTCCAATATCAGTACAGTTTCATTAAGTGATTTTGGCCTGATTTTAACCTGTCTAATGCACTAATCTTACTGGGTTAGGGAGCTAACATTGGTTCCCTAAGTGACAGGCTTCTATTTCTGGCCCATTTACTGCATCTACAGAGATTACAATCCTGTCCTTAACTATTGCTGCTCTCTTTTCACTAGGCTTTATCCACTACCATCACTGTTGGAAAGTGTGTTCTGCCTGAACCAATTTGGGATTCTGTTAACAGGTTGTGCTGTTCTGGGAGAAAGGTAATTTTTGACCTGTAAAACTCAGTGCTGTGATTGTAAGTGTCATTGATTATGCGCAAATTGTGTGCGAGTACCAAGAAAGAATGAATTGTTTTTTTTTACCTGATGCGTAGTGTGTTCAAACAAGAATTCATGCTCAGAAACATACAAGTCATACAGTATCAGACAGGACTGAATTGCTTTATTTTATCCCAGTGTGTACTGCATAGATACAGGAGCTAACACAAGCTATGCAGTACTTGTCGTGGTTGAATTGCCTCCATTCATATGTATGCTATACATGTACAGGAGTTTATAATGAGGAATATACCACTGTACTGTTTCAGAGGGGAGGAATTATTCCCTTTAATAAATGTGTACTTTGTGAAAGGTTTGGTTAGGTTACAAAAACAAAGTTGCTGGAAAAGCTCAGCAGGTCTGGCAGCATCTGTGAAGGAGAAAACAGAGTTAACGTTTCGGGTCCGGTGACCATTCCTCAGAACTGATGGTGGCTGGGAAACGTCAGTTTATATGCAGAAAATAGGGAGGTGGGTGGGGTAAGATAGAGCCCAAAGAGAGAGAAAGACAGTTGGACAGACAAAGGAGTTGTTAACGATCAGGCTGGGAGGGTGAATAGTTGTTAAGGGACTCTTAGTGACTAACAACAGCGGGTGTGTAATGGCAGGCTATGTGGTAACAAGGCCTGGGGTGTGGGGGGACGCGCTGGGACATGGGAGAGTTTAGGCCCTAAAATTAGTGAACTCAATATTGGGTCCGGAGGGCTGTAGGGTCCCCAAGCAGAAAATGAGGTGTTGTTCCTCCAGCTTGCGTTGGGCTTCACTGGAACACTGCAGCAACCCAGAGACAGAGATGTTGGCCAGGGAGCAGGGTGGTGCATTGAAGTAGCAGGCAACAGGTAGTTCAGGGTCTTTTTTGTGAGCAGAGTGTAGATGTTCTGCGAAGCGGTCACCAAGTCTATGCTTCGTTTCCCCAATGTAGAGGAGACCACATTGTGAGCAGCAAATGCAGTAGACTAGATTCTGGGAAGTGCAGGTGAATTGTTGCTTCACCTGGAAGGTATGTTTGGGCCCTTGGATACTGGGGAGGGAGGAGGTAAATGGGCAGGTGTTGCACCTTTGCCGGTTACAGCGGTAGGGCTGTGGGGAGGTGTTGGGGATGAAGGAAGTGTGGACCAGGGTGTCCTGGAGGGAACAGTCTCTGCGGAAGGGACAAGGGAGGGGAGGGGAATATGTGTCTGGTGGTGGCATCTTGCTGGAGGTGGCGGAACTGGCGTCTGATGATCTTCTGGATGTGGATGCTGGTGGGATGGTAGGTGAGGATAAGGGGGAACCCTATCACTGTTGGGGGAGGGAAGAGAAGGGGTGAGGGCGGAAGTGTGGGAGATGGATCGGACCTGGCTGTGAGGGCCCTGCCGACAATGGAGCTGGGGAATCTTCGGTTGAGGAAGAAGGTGGACATTTCAGACGCTCCCTTGTCGAAGTTGGCCTCATCTGAACATATGTGACGGAGACGAGGAACTGAGAGAATGGGATGGAGTCTTCACAGGAAGTGGGGTGTGAGGATGTATAGTTCAGGTAGCTGTGGGAGTGTAGTGGGTTTGTAATGGATACTAGTGGCCAGTCTATACCCAGAAATGGAAACAGAAATGTTGAGGAAGGGAAGAGAGGAGTCTGAGATAGACCAGGTGAAAGTGAGGGCAGGGTGGAAATTGGAGGCGATATTGATGAAGTTTTCCAATTCCAGACGAGAGAGGGCAGCAGCACCGATGATATCATCGATGTGTCGGAGAAAGAGTTGTGGGTGGGGGCCAGAATAGGACTGGAACAAGGAATGTTCCACGTACCCCACAAAGAGACAGGCATAACTAGGGCCCATGCGGGTACCCATGGCAATCCCTCTTACCTGAAGAAAATGAGAGGAGTTGAAAGAGAAGTTGTTGAGGATGAGGACAAGCTCGGCCAAACGGAGGAGGGTGGTGGTGGGTGGGAATGGTTCAGGTCTTTGCTGCAGGAAGAAGCGGAGAGCCCTAAGACCCTCCTGGTGGGGAATGGACTTGTAATGTGATTGCACATCCATGGTAAAGAGGAGGTCACTGTGGACTTGTTGGGCCAGATGGCCTGTTTCCACACTTCAGGATTCTACAAATGGAGGTTAATGTAGGCAAGTGTCGGATCATCGACTTAGAGTCATTGTCATAGAGATGCACAGCGCGGAAACAGACCTTTTGGTTAGGTTAGTTGGCTGGATGGCTGATTTGCAATGCATAGTGGTGCCAATTGCATAGGTTCAATTCCTGCACTGGATGAAGTCCCTATGAAAGTCCTGCCTTTTCAACCTTACCCCTTGCCTGAGCTGCAGTGATCCTCAGGTTAAATCACCACCAGTTGTCCATCTCTAATGAGAGAGAAGCCCTAAGATCCTCTTGGATCTATGGTGAAGTTTTTACTGTGTAAACACTGAAACAGGCAGTGCGACTCTTGGGAATCATGAAATACTAATCAGAAGTGAATTGCTGTTGTAAAATGTACATATGCAGGAAGTGGGACTGACATAGGTGAATACTCAGAGTGAAGTGTTACCAGAGGGGCCAAATTTGAGTTAATTAGCAAAATAACTAATGGTATGTGAGGAGACTTTTACTTGGGTTATTCAATACCTGAAAGGATGGTAGAAGCAGATTCAGTGGTGACATGATAAGTGGATTTGGATAAATATGTTGAGGGGAGAAAATTGCGTGGCTATTGGGGAGAAAGCCAAGAGAAGCACTAACTGAATAATGCTTTTAAAGAGTTATCACAGATGAAGGGCTGAGTGAACCTTATTCTATGGTGTTAAGACTCTGTAACTGTATGAAGTGACCCTTTAAATTTATTTTCACCAAGGGAGCAAGTAGAAAGTAGATTAAGAGATTGCAATGAAGGTTGGGTCAACACATTGAATAAAGAGGATGCCATACGACAGCAACCTGTGTGAATGAGAGAGACTGAGAAAGCCACGTAGCTGCTAATACAGAGGGGATCTGATTCTAGGTTATGTCAATAGCAGAGAAAATATTGAAGGAATGAGAAAGCTGAGGAAGGCTCTGACCTTCAGTTGCTCATTTTGGAAAGTGTTTCTACCTTGACAAAACAAGTGTTGTCAGTTTTCAAGAAAACAAGAACATTACAAAACTGCTGTGTTCCCTTGCTTAAATATCAAAGTTAGAAATCACATGACACAGGTTATAGTCCAACAGGTTTATTTGAAAACACAAGTTTTCGGAGCGTAGCCCCTTCGTTACCTGACCTTGTCCACCTCAGTCCAACACAGGCACCTCCACATCATAATTGCCAAACCCGCTTCTATCTCCTTCCCAAAATCCACAAACCTGAATGCCCTGGTCGACCCATTGTCTCCGCCTGCTCCTGCCCCACCGAACTGATCTCCAACTATCTAGACTCCATTTTCTCCCCCTTGGTCCAGGAACTCCCTACCTATGTCCGTGACACCACCCACGCACTCCACCTCCTCCAGAACTTCCAATTCCCCGGTCCCCAACACCTCATCTTTACCATGGACGTCCAGTCCCTCTACACCTGCATTCCCCATGCAGATGGCCTTAAGGCCCTCCGCTTCTTCCTGTCCCGCAGGCCCGACCAGTCCCCCTCCACTGATACCCTCATCTGCTTAGCCGAACTCGTCCTCACACTCAACAACTTCTCTTTCAATTCCTCCCACTTCCTACAGACAAAGGGGGTAGCCATGGGTACCCGCATGGGCCCAAGCTACGCCTGCCTCTTTGTAGGTTACGTGGAACAATCCCTCTTCCGTACCTACACTGGCCCTAAACCCCACCTCTTCCTCCGTTACATTGATGACTGTATCGGCGCCGCCTTGTGCTCCCACGAGGAGCTCGAACAGTTCATACACTTCACTAACACCTTCCACCCCAACCTTAA